CCCCCTTATATTTTTGAACACAAAGCTTCCTATCCTTAACATAGGCCCATTGTAATGGAGCTGTCTAGTGTCACTTTGTGTTTTGCACTCTCTACATCTTCTTGATGCCAGTAATGAAATTACTTCATCAAAAAAAAGATTGCAAGAGCAAATTATCATTGACATAATCCATGAGAGGGTGCAGACGTAAGCTAATCTTCTTATCTTTTTTTGGAATTAGGTGCCAACAGATATTTTTACTTGTGCATGAATGATTTCCTTGCACTTGGAGGCGGTGGACATTTCGCATTATGCTTGGACGGAGATCTGTAAGTTTCTGTGCCTGGCGTTCAACACTGTAGCTTGCAGATTTCTTCTTTTCTTTCTTACAATTTTCTGAAGTTCCATTTTTGTGATAAAATAAATTTTGATGAAGGTTATCTGGCAATAGTGGACCTTGTGATACATTTGGCAACTCGTGCTTGGCACATAATGAAGAGTTTGAGTTGAAGAATGTTGAGGTAATGTCTTCTTTAATTAATAATCTTCTTGTCACCTGTCCCACAAAAGAATACAAATAAAAAAAGTTGCATAACTCGTGCAAAAATAAGAGGTAGGAAAGGGAAACTTAGGTGTAAGCTCATTTATAATTCCGACTTTGGACTGTACTCAGAAAAAGGGGAAATTTTTTGAATGGTCTTCCATAAATCTAACTCTCTCCTTACGATCCTAATCTGCATGGATTGTCTACATATTGATGCATAACAACTGTATAACAAAGGCACTTCTATTTTAGAAAGTTTGATCACAGTTGATCCATAGATGAGGATAACTGGGAATCATACTGCTTGAATATTTCAAAGACTACATTTTTGGAAGGTCGACAAAATTCAAATGATGTAATAAAGCACTCATAAAGAGGTCTTTTAGAGAAGGATAAAAATAGAAAATATATTGAAGAACAATTCTCAAGTGATGTGTTGTTCTCGTTTAGAAGGGGAGCCTTGGAGCAACGGTCAAGTTGTCTTAGGTCACGGGTTCAAGCCGTGGAATCGGCCATTGACCCTTGCATCAGGGTAGGCTGCTATATCACACCCCTTGGGGTGCAGCCCTTCTCCGGACCCTACGTGTACGTGGGATGCTTTGTGCACAGAGCTGCCCTTTGTGTTGTTCTCGTTTACATTTTAAGGTTATAGATTAGGGCAGGAAAAGATATCATAAGGTTGTTCTAGTGTTAGGGAAGCTTATAAAAGTCAAGCCGCTCTGCTCTCATACCAAACCAACCTATTATTGATAATTAAGGATTATGGCTTAAATAAGTCAAATAGGATCATTCACCAATGCCTGAAAGCTTAAGATGTCACAAACTCACTAGTAAGGTGTTCTAAAACGCGGACACTTTACACGTCATAGCAGACTCGAGAAAATTATTTAGACAAGTTCCTCAAAATTGTGCTGCCAATCTTGTCCAGAAAGTATACTGTTTGGATACTTTGCTGAACATTCTATTACCAATGTTTGACAGTTTCTTTTTCTTGATGCAGCTGTGGGGTTTTACACATGCATCTCGGTACCTTACCTCGTAGCAAGCCTGAAATGTTTTTTTAATATATAAATATGATTATTTATTCTTTCATGCCCAAAGAAGCAGCCGTCTCCATTTTAATGGTGGAGTGTTCCTGCTGTACATGGGCAAGTTGTATCAAGAAATGAGATTCTAGTTAGTGTAGATTAAATCAGCTGATCATTATGGTTGCAAGTACACTCATTCTTCTTGTTTATGACATTATGAATGCTTCTTGCCTGCAAAGGCTTTTCTAATCATACAAAATACAGGTCTCTCATGGAGTGTTATTATATAAACTCTTTATTAAAAAAATGAGTGTTATTATACAAACCACAGCAGTTATATATTCTGCACACAATTTGTAGTTAAGCTATTTGCTTATGAGTGTCCTGGCAATGATTTTCCTTTGCGAAGGCCAATATACAACAACAACAAACCCAGTATAATCTCACAAGTGAGGTCTGGGTTGCGAAGGCTAATACATGCTTCTTAAATCGACACACTAATGCTGGTAATCGTAATTACATGAGCATTATTATCGATCACTAGAAAATAGATCATACTCTATCCAGTCTATAATTAGGATCGGATTATCTATGAATCCGTTCATTAATTTTCCAACAACGCAAACAGACACAGATGCATGTGTGACAACGTTCATTCTTTTTTATGGTATTTTAAAAAATTGTAACCAATCTTATTATTTTCCAAAAAATTGAGAAATCGCCACCAAGTTCTAGCGAACCAGATATGGTGCTAATAGCTTCTTTTTTTTAATAGAGAACTCCCGTATACCAAAAAGTAGAGAATTTACATCAGAACATGATTCTCTACAAAAGACGTCCAATCTTCTAAACAGGTAGGGGCTATATGAGTGCACCAAAAAGCGATCAAAAATAAAAGACTATTCTTAAGATGTGAAAAAGGAGACTCAATCCCCTCAAAAGTTCTCCTATTTCTCTCCCCCAAACTATCCACATGAGAGCTAATGGGGCGAACTTCCACGTCTTTTGCTTTTTTCTTCTACAGAAACCGGCCCAGTTGTATAACATTTCCTTTACCGTGCTTGGCATCGCCAATTGAACACCAAAAAGATTCAGGATTACCCTCCACAAAGCCGAGGACACAGGGCAATGCAACAAAAGATGATCAACTTCTTCCCCTGAGCTTTTACACATGTAGCAGCAAATAACAAGTTTAATCCCTCTCTTTCGCAGATTTTCAGCAGTCAAAATCACTTCCCTCGCCACTAGCTATGCAAAAAAGCACACCTTTGTGGGAGCCTTAGGAATCCAGATCGAGGAGTATGGAAAAGTGGTCTCCTCTCTCACCAACTTNCCCCCCACCCCCATGCTCCTTACGAATCTGTTGGTCCATCAATTCCTTCTGGTTTGAAACTCTAAATACATGGGAGAAGGAGACCCTCAGAGTATCCTCTCCACACCACCTATGATTCCAAAAGCTCATTCTCCTTCCATCTCCCACCTTGTAAGTGATGTTGCCACTGAAAGCTTCCCAATTCTTCATGATGCTCCTCCACATGCCACACTCAAAAGGTATTGTGATTGTCTTGGTCCTCCAACCCCCTCCCGTGGAATCGTACTTTTCTACTATGACCATCCATAGAGCATGCTCTTCTACCCCGAATCTCCACAGCCACTTTCCCAACAAAGATATGTTGAATACCCTAAGATCTTTTACTCCAAGTTCACCTCACTTCTTTGGGGAAGTGATTGTCTGCCAATTCACTAGATGAAACTTTCTAGTTCCATCCGCCGCATCCCAAAGAAAATTCCTTTGAAACCTCTCCAGTTTTTCTGTGGTGCTCACAAGAGCTTGCAACAGGGACAAGTAATAGCTGGGCATACTCGATAAAGTACTTTTAATAAGCACTTCCTCATCGCCTTTTGACAAGTACCGTTTCTGGCAGCGTGTTAATCTTTTTTCAACCCTTTCGATCACTGGATTCCAAACCGTAGTATCCTTATGCGAAGCGCCCAATGGGAGACCCAGGTAAGTAGTAAGAAAGGATCCCACCTTACATCTGAGAACATAAGACGAAGCATCAACGTTAGCAACCTCAGCCACCGGAAAACTCTCACACTTGTCGAGGTTGATTTTGAGTTATGATACTATCTGAAACCACTGCAAGACCTGCTTCAGGTAGGTCAACTGATCCATATCGGCATCACAGAAAATCAGGGTGTCATCTGCAAAGAGCATATGAGAAACTCTTCGGGCACTAAGCACCCCGATCGGAGCTGAGAATCCTCTTAAGAAGCCACCGCCCACCGCACGATCCATCATTTTACTCAGAGCATCCATCACTAGAATAAATAGCATGGGAGATAGGGAGTCACCTTGCCTGAGACCCCTGGAGCTGCCAAAGAAACCACACGGGCTACCATTAACTAGGACAGAGAATCTGACTGAGGAAATGCAAAACTTGATCTATCACCTCCATCTTTCCCCAAACCACATCCTCATCATAATGAGATCCAGGAACTCCCAATTGACATTGTCGAAAGTTTTCTCAAGGTCCAACTTGCATAGTAAGTCGGGTTCTCTATTTTTCCTTCTGGAGTCTACAAGTTCATTTGCCACCAAAGCAGCATCCATTATCTGCCTACCTTCCGCAAACGCTTTTTGGGAGGACGAAATAGACACGTCAAGAACCTTCTTGAGTCTGTTGGAAAGCACTTTAGAAATAATCTTGTAAATGCTCCCCACGAGACTAATAGGCATGTAGTCTCTGATACAAGATGCACCTTCTTTCTTAGGCACAATAGTAATAAAAGAAGCATTGATACTTCTCTCGAAAATACCATTCACATGGAAGTATTAAATGGCTTCTATCAACTCCCCTTGATGGTGTCCCAACAAAGCTGGAAGAAGGCCAAAGAGAAACCATCAGGCCCGGGGGCCTTATCACCAGCACAACTCGACACAGCCTTGTGCACCTCCTCCTCCTCGAAAGCCCTTTCTAACCACTCATTGTCTCCCTCCCCTATGTGGTTAAACTCTATTCCCCCCAAAGTCGGCCTCCAACTAACTTTCTCTTTGTATAAGTTCTCATAAAACCCCCCACTATTGCTCCTTTTACCTCCTCCTCTCCCTCAATCCTCACCCCATCCATAACTAAGGACTCTATAAAGTTTCTCCTTCGATTTGCAACCCCCACCCGGTGAAAAAACTTGGTATTCGAATCCCTCTCCTTTAACTAGAGCGCCCTCAATTTTTGCCGCCAACTAGTCTCCTGCGTTATTGCTAACTCGACTATTTCCCTCTTAACCTCCCCCAATCTCACTTTCTCATATTCATCTAACTCTCTCGCCCCTTCCCCTCTCTCTAATTCCCCCAATTCATGCATAAGTTCCCTCATTTTAACCTCTACCCTCCCAAAAACCTCCTTATTCCACCTAATAATATCTCCCTTGAGCAATTTAAGTTTCTTCGAAATATGCAATGAAGGTGTCTCTGATACCCCGTAGCTTGTCCACCATTCTTTCACCTTGTCACCAAATCCTACCACTTTCAACCACATGTTCTCGAATCATAAGGGAGCACGCACCCTCCTCCCTCTGCATCCATCTAGCAAGATAGGCAAATGATCCGAAGTCATCATAGGTAAAGGAATCTGCAGCACATTCAGCATTAGCTCATCCCAGGAGGGCGATATCAGAAATCTATCAAGTCTAGACCTAGAGTTGGAATCCTCAGCCCTGGCCCAAGTAAACCTTTCCCCTGATAGAGGAAAATCAATGAGAAAGTGATCATTGATGAAGTCAGAAAACTCCTCCATGGCCCCCGAAATCATACTACACCCTAATCTCTCCTTCGGGAATCTAATAGTGTTAAAGTCTCCCCTTAGAACCCATGGAATATCCCATTCCCCCATCAGATTGGCCAGTTCCTCCCAGAAAAACACCTTGGACTCTTCTCCTACCGGTCCGTACACTCCCCCAAATCTTCACTCCACCCTGCTCACTCTATCTTTGACAAGTGCTGCTATCATCCCACATAAGAAAAATGCCCCCGACACTTTCCACTGCTGGAACCCAGTCATATTTTACCCAACTACCTCCCCAAATACTCCTCACAATCACATCCGACAAAACTTCCATTTTTGTCTCCTGAAAACAAAATCACCCCACTCTCTAACTCTCACTTTGATGATGACCCTTTTGTTTGGGTCATTTATCCCCCTCACATTCCATGAAAGAATATTAACCTCCATAAGTAACAATATCCCCCTTTTCCCCATCCCCCCCCCAACCGAGCTCCCTTCCTCCCTGTCATACACATGTCCCCTTCTCTGGTACACCACTACATCTCCTAAATTATTTTGCTTAACACCTTGACCCAACTCCCTCCCTGCACCATCATAAAAAGATTGTTGCTCAGTCTCTCTCAACAGTTCTAACACCCTATCTTCCTTCCCTTCAAAAGAAACACCTAGAAACTTCCCAAAGTTTAATAGTTTATCCTCCATCCGGAAAGACATATCCCCTCCTCCAATCCCTGACGAAATTGGATAGGCGTCTTCTACATGTACCCTTTCCTTGCTCCTGTCGGAGGAATACAAGACCATAGCATTGCTAGCAATAGGAACCTTAGGTGCCGAAAGGATCTCACTATTTCCTTGAGGGGCAGTAACATCTGAAATTAACACCCCGCTGCTATAGGAATGTCCAGAAACACCAGTAGGGTAGCAGGAAGGAAGAGAGCATGGAACCTTTGGCGGCATACTAACTGGAAATACTAGTCCGGCACTATCATCAATTGGGGAATGCTCAACAATCTCCCCAGAAGAAGAAGAAGCTTGAAGTGTAACCTCAGCACAACTAAGCCCAGGAGCAGATGAGGGGGCGATGGAGTTGGGTCCATTAGAGGCGGGAGGCCGTGGAATAACAGCACCACCTTTAGCCGGTGCTGCCCCTGAAGCAACAGCCATCGAAGAGGGGCGCAGGTCACTAGAGCTCGGTGAAGAAATGTCGTTGTGTGAAGCACCATTGGCAAAAGAAGGAGGAACGATTGTTCCTATATGCATAGAAGCCTTATCAGACGCAACTTGAAATAATCTGGGCCTCTTTGGATCAATTCTAATAGAATTGGGAAAAGTTATTGCGCCCATGTGAGGAGGCCCGGGCCTATACTTGCTGAAACCTTGCCCGACCCTATGATAATTAGAAGAGGACCGGCCCATTCTGCCTTTCCAGACCGCATCACTAACCCATTCACGTCGTCTCCTCCTATTAAAATTTTGTCTTCTTCTCCCAAATTCAAACCTCCCATCTCTTCTCGATCTAACATTTGATTCTGGCTTAGACCACTGATCCGGTGAGCCCTCCCCTCCCCTCCGAGACTGATTTCCCCTCCCCTCCCTTCTATTTGACCTTCCCTTTTCTTCTGCCACTATCACAGGCATAAAGATAGGGTGAAATTCAGGGCTCAACCAAACCCTATAAATCAAGTAGCCATCTTCCACCACAGTGGAGACAGGGATTCTGCCCCCTTTCCTCACCACAATCCTTACTCGCGAGAGATCGTGTAAGCTGCAAGTGACATCAATAAAAAACCCCACAGATTTCCCCAATCTTCTTGAATAGTTCAAGACACCAAAGATGCACCGGGAGACCCACCATGTTGACCACTAATGATTCGCCGGTGAAATGAGGGTCGAGACACCCATCGTGCTCCACCCATCTATCTAGCTTTAAAAAGTTCCCATCGAACCACCTGTTTCCTTTGACAAGAATTTCTTAAGCTTGAGACTTGCCGATAAAACGAAAGAGATATTGAGTGTCCCCAATTGCGATATTTTCAACCCGTCCTTGACGTTCCATGCCTCTGCTACCCAGTTCCTAACAGCCTCTGGAGAACCAACCCATTTGGAGAAAGACTCAATCAGACAAGATTCCAAGAAACCCTTGCGCTTGAGAGTGTGCTCCTCAGACAGCGATAAGTGCGGCTCCTGCCCTACGTCAAGCTTTCGATGGCATCTTTCCCCAAGTTCTAGGGCTGGCCAAGAGGCAGCTTTGATGAACGACATATTTTCCAGTTTTCTAGATTCTAGAGAGAAGTAGGAGCTTCTCTCTATAGAATCCATCATATTCTAAATGCAGATCTGGCTGAAAAAAGCCTCAAAGGTTAGAATATCAGTATTCACAGTGGGTGAAAACAGTATTATAGGGAGGGAAGAAAGTTTTCTAGTACTGACAAAGGAAACAATCGCCGGAATCTAGGGTTTAATGGCCGAAAAAAGAAAATGTCGTCGAATTTTGGTGAAACTGAAATGGGAAGGCTCGGAAAAGCCTCGAGAAGAGGCTGTCTGAAGAAAAAAGTTTAAAAAGTCACCGGAAAAAGCCACACGCGCCGGCTCGTGGCTGAGATCTCGCCGGAAAAGCAGGCGAGTTGGCCGCGCGTGAGGGCTCGGTTGCCGGAGAACTTCACTGGGGTTTGGATGCGGGAAGCTTGGCTCTTGATGGGGGTGGTGAAGTCTTAGAAAGAAGAAGAGAGAGAAGATGCCTGGGAGCATTTCTGATTTCTGGGGTTCTCTTTTTTTTCTTTTTTTGCAAAAGACAGCAAAAAAATCCTCCCTAAACAATGCTTTTTCGGCATCGGTTGCCGGAGAACTTCACTGGGGTTTGGACGCGGGAAGCTTGGCTCTTGATCGGGGTGGTGGACTCTTAGGAAGAAGAAGAGAGAGAAGATGAAGGAGAGAGAAGATGCCTTGGAGCATTTTTGACTTCTAGGGTTCTCTTTTTCCCCCTTTTTTCGCAAAAGACAGCAAAAAAATCCTCCCTTAACAGCATTAAGATGGATGGATAGTTGTATCAACGATGCTTCACTGATTCAGGTCCGTTTTGCTACTCTCACCAATAAGGTCCCAATGTTAAATTATGTTAAATTCTGAAGAACCAACAGTTATGTCGGAGAAGACAGTTTTGCTGTCGTTAAATTGTGTGTCAACGTGAGCTAACATCAGCAGAAAGGAGGATAAGACAGAAGGTTGTATTCAAAATCTGAGTCCGAATTGCGTGTACTTAAGCAAGTTCTAATTTTCCTGAGCACGTCTTGGTTTTTAATGGAAAATGGATAGCGGATGCATATGAATGAATGATATATCACTATTCAAGAATTGTTTTACATCACTTCTATATTATACCATGTTAGTGGTAAATATGTTTCCCTGCTTCCCCTACTAGAATGGAACTATATTGAATAAAAAACCACTGAAGTTACACTTGAAAGAACAATAAATCTCTGTCAACCTCTTTCTTCACCCTGGAAGATAAATGTGCCGACCCCGCAGCAGGAGTTGTAGGACTAGTTATCTCCTTTTAACTCCTCTAACTGAGCCTAACTCTCTGATTGATCCTCCCCAGGCAGCCCGAATATTCTTAAATTCCGATCCATGGATCCAACAGCTATGTATTTCGCATCTGGTCCGAATTTCAGACATGTTGCTTTACCTGCATGAGACAATAACAGACTCCACTTTAATAAACAGGGATGAAACAGAGGACATCAAAAGCACAAATAGGCAAAAAGAGCGAGCAGAGAAAGCTTACCTGTGCCTGACAAGTCAGGGAAAGTTTTGATGAGATTCCATTCGGACTTGACACTTGCAGCTTGATGAACTCTGATTCAGCGCAAAATTATGTTGATATTAATTCCAATGTATCAACAGAAAGCTCCAAATAGCAATCAGCATTTAAATGCATAATTGGAATGGAGGACAGTCATAATCAAAGTAACAACAATGGCAATGACAACTACACCTTAATCCCATTCTAGTTGGGGTAATAACTAAAGCCTCATTGATCACCCAGTAAGGTGTAGGGTGATGACAAAGGACAAAATATAAGTTCAAGCAAAATTAGGACACTTGAACAACAGATGTTCTAAGGGGGTAATGCACCTTCCTTATCCAGTAACCAGCACGGGAAGTTTGTAAAGAAGTCTTACCTTATATCTGAGCCTCCTAATGCAAGATAACTTCCACTGTGGTCAAATTCCACTGCAAGTACAGAAGAAGCAGCTAGTCAGTTTTTAAATGCATAGAAATTCCCATAGAAGATACAATCATCTTAGTAAATGATTACAAACTGCAGTAATGAAAGACATTTCAGATATCATTTGTAGAAAAATTATCTTTAAAAGCAAGTTTGACAGGTAACCATAACATTATGAAGCATCAGAAAAGAAAAGGGTTGAAGTGCCCCAAAAGGGAAATGATCCATATGTACATGCAACTCCTAAAGATAGTATAATCATAGATATATTATAGTTCATATATAAAACAAGAAACTTGGCTTTTAAACTGCTTAGTGCGCACTAAAAGTCGAATTTTGCTAAACCACTTAGCGAAGTTCTTTTGATTAACACAGCTCTTCTAAGATATTTTTCGTGTCAAACTCCAGTAGAATGCAGTTAGTATTTATGCCTGATTGAGTTGCTGTATCTTCATCATAAGGAGTAAAGCTTCTGAAGTTTCTCAATTTGCGTAAATCCCAAAGTTTGACGCCATCTTGGGCTGCG